CACTGATCCTTTTGGAAGCAATTAGAGATCATTAGAGAAAGATTCAATTAATTCATTGATCAAATATTTATTGAATGCTTATTATGTGTAAGGTATTATGCTGGGTATATTGAAGAAGCATAAGCTACATATATCTTTATATCTATAGCTATATTCATATCTCTGCCTATCTATACATATATATAATTGTTTCTGCTCTCATAGAGTTTACATTCTAATGGGAAGGTGTAAAGACACCCACATACAAGTCAGTACAAGTCAGTACTGTTAAGTGCCAGAAGGGGAACATTGGCCATGGTACCTATGCAGTTTGAGAGACCTAGCTCACCTCTCACATGCAAGATATTAGCTTCCATAATATAATTTATCCACTATGAAGTACAGCTTTTATCCATAACTCTGGTTTGCTTTTTTCTAAATACAGAGATTCTTATGAGTAGAATTTTAGAGAACAATGTTATGTCACAAAAGCAACCTGATGCCATCCTCCTCCTCATCACTCAGGCCCTCTGGGGAAGCAATTCCCAACTTGTGTGAATCAGGGCTTATTAAACACAGATTGCTGGGTTCCGTCATCAGAGTTCCTGATTCGGGTCTGGGATGGGCCTGAGGATTTGCATGCTGCTGGTATGGGGATCACACTTGGAGAACCACTGCTCAGGGTTATCTTTGAATTTTCCCTATTGCTTGCTCTCCACGTCCACACTGACACCAAGGTTGGTCCTTCTGTGTCCTCTGTCTTTCTCTTCCATTCTCATTCCTTCGACTTTTGTTTTTCCCCTTGAGGAGAGGGGGCAAAGAGAAGCCCTGCTTTGCTCCATGACAGGAAGGTTTGTGTTATCTTTGTTTTCTCTCTAATTCTCTTGTTTTCAAATATGTCCTTAACTCTCGGTTTCCTTTCTCACAACTTTTATGAGGCTGCAGTAAAGTGACCTTGAGAAACTCCTAGAAGAGATGAAGTCTTACTGTGGTTTGTTTTGCAGTGGACAGAATGGTTAGGTGAGAAATTTTCTTTTACTATTAAAAAAATGATTAAGAAATGAAAAAAAAAAAAGTTCATATTATGAAGGGAGTTCAAGGGAAACCCAAGACGTATCACATTGCTTCAGCATTAGAATTCCATAGAGGAAGGAAGCACGTCAAGAGCTTATTATGCAGAGACGGGAGACAGAGCAAAGAAACTCAGTGTCTCCTGGGTGGAGGGGGCTAAAGTAATAAGATGATGATTTTTTTTTTTTTTTTATCATTAAGTAGTTCTTCCCCTTTTATGAAAAGCTCTCACATGCATCATACCTTTACAGCTACTTAAAAGGCAGGAAAATTATTATTTCCATTTTAAACTCAAAGAAATTGAGGGTTATGAAATTAAGTGACTTGCTTAAGGCCACACAGCCAATTAGAGGAGCCAAAACTGAATCCAAATAATCTAATTCCAGTACGATCATCTTTCACTTATGTCCCCAATCTATGCTTTAGTGTTATAATCATTACAGAATATGCTTTATAACCACGGCTTCCTTGGTTCTCTAAAGCAGAGCTTAGCTCCAAAGTCAATATGATGGACTACTTATTTGTCTCCAACACTTCCTTTCAATGAATATGTGGATCATTAACATAGAGCTACATTTACATTAAACCTTGGAGTTACTGAAATGCAAAGCCAGTTACTATGCATAGAATCTGTGATGCTGAGAACCCAAATTTCTTTCCTTTTAGCTCCCTCAAACCACTCTTTCTTGGTAGGATTCTTTTCTGTTAGATTATAGGTGAGAATACTAAATCCAGCCCTACTCTTCCAAGCATCCCCACTACTTTCTAGAATTTTTTTAGACCAACATTTGGACATTTTGCTCTGGATTTTTATCATTTCCACTGGGCTCCTGTAAAGTTGGGAGGCCCCACTTTTTTGATGTTTTCCCAAGAAATTGGAGAGAACTTTGTTTTGAAATGTGGGCCATAGTGTATCCAGGTTCTGAATTACTTCCATATGTTCAGGCTGTCTTGCCTTTTGGAAATGTGGACCTATTGTTTTTAAACTTTGGACTCCTTCATTTTGACAAAAGTCTTGATAGACAGATAGCCCTTCCAGACTGCCACTGCCAAATAATTCTAGGGTGAAAGGGAAGAGTGTTGCTTCTTTTAAATGAGAGGCTTGATATATGTACGTTATTAATTGTTCCCAGATGTGGCCATGTTATACACTTCAATACAAAAACCTTCATAACTTACTGAGGACCTTTGTAGTTTACTAGAGATCTGAAGGCTACACTTGGAGCATAACTCAGATTTATAAAATGACTTTACTTGTAGCTTTTGTATCTACTATGTCTAAATGTGTAAACCCATTGCTGGTTTTCTCATGGGCAAATCTAGTTATTTGGGTTAACCACAAAGTCCTTTGGTGAATCCATTGGATAAATATGTTTACACACCAAAAAGATTAGTAATACACTAAAAATTTTATGTTGCAAGTTTAAAGCCTCTTTCAATATGTGATCTAACAGAATGTGTGAATTTTATGTCCAGTAGGTCCACTGGAAGAGATGCACAGAAAGGGGGAGTAGAAATGATTATGGATCCAAGACCAGCAAAGTCAACTTTGGCTAAGAAGACACTTCCACAAATGGTCTCTTTTTCCCCCTAATCTTTATTTTTTTTTTTTTAAAGATTTTTTTTTTTTTAATTTATTTTTTCCCCCCAAAGCCCCAGTAGATAGTTGTGTGTCATAGCTGCACATCCTTCTAGTTGCTGTATGTGGGACGCGGCCTCAGCATGGCCGGAGAAGCAGCGCGTCGGTGCGCGCCCGGGATCCGAACCCGGGTCGCCAGCAGTGGAGCGCGCTCACTTAACCACCAAGCCACGGGGCCGGCCCTCCCCCTAATCTTTAATTTGATGATTTATAAGGCAGCTATTCAGAGGAGGAAAGGACATAAACTATGTGAGAGGACTCTGTAAACCATAAATTGCCACATAAATAAAAATATTACTATTTGATTAATTTACCACATGGGAAATTTCCCTTGATTGATCTCGGTATTAGTACATTTCCATCTACCCCAAGTAAACACAGTGACTTACTACTACCTGATTTTCTTCCTAAATTCTGTAATGAGTCACTATGCTTATTCAGAAGTGTGAAAACTCATCTTTAAGAACAACTGATTCACATAAAGGCACATATGTGGATTTATATAGTGTCCTGACTTAAGTTGAACTTCAAAGAAGGCAAAGTTCATTTTAAGAAATGTTCTATTTCAGTAGTTCACTTCCATGCTGAGGACCTCGCCTCAGTGTCTGTTGCTCTCCTTTCCTTCTGTTCTCCAATTGAAATTTATCTGCTTTATGTCCTATCCCCTAGACTCCTGCTAGGTGATCTGAGAAACTAGGTAGCTTAGAGGAACTAATTTGTTTTCATGTAGTACAATTGAAGTGTGTAACTTTTCCCTGGAAACTTACTTGTCATTTAACAGGGGCATTCTGGAACCAGAGGTTTACCAGAAGAGTGAGTCTCATAATAGGAATTTCAAATATGGTGATCATCATTGGGGTAGGTGTTTTTAGGTACTAGAGAATCTATGTGGAATCATGTCATATATGTGGTCACTTATACGGAAGAGCATTGTGGAATTCACACTTCTATGTCTGTCCCATTATGGGGCTAGGAAACAGCACTGGCTTGGAGGTCAGATCTTAGCTCCAGAATCATAGAATCCAGGGATAAAACAGATTGAATCCCCTCTACAACATCCCTATGAAGTGATCATTCATTTGCTCCTTGAACACCTCTATTTAGAGGAACTCACTCCCTCTGGAGGCAGTCTGTCGCATCTTAGAGCAGCTCCGACTGTCAACAAACATTTTCTTTTATTTAGTTGAAAGATTCTTATAGCTTCCAATCATTGGTCCACTTCTACCTTTTGGAGCCAAACAGAACAAGCTTAAAGTCTCTTCCCTCCCAACCATTTAAATAATGCTAATAGTGCTAATAATAGCTACCATTTATAGGGTGATTATTATGTGCCAGGAATTTTTTTAAGAACTTCATATATATTAATTCATTCAATCCTCAAAACAGCACTATAAGAAAGATGTATCACTATTATTCCCCTTATATAGACAGGAAATGGAGGTGGAGAAAGGTTAAGTGATTTTCCCAAGGTGCACAGTTCGGTAGTGGCTAAGTCTGAATTCAAACCCAGGCAATGTGGCCCCAGAGCTCCTGTTTGGCTAAAATGTTACGCTCCCCCTGAGGCTCAAATACATGAATATGGCTTATATGATGCCCTGAATCTTCTCTTCTGAGGCTGAACATCCTTAGGACCTTCAACAATGACTCAGTTGCCATGGCTTCGTGTCCATTCCCCATCCTAATCATACTCCTCTGAGTGTGTCCCAATTAGTCTATCGTCCTTTTAAAAGGTAATACCCAGAATAGACTGTGGTCTCAAGATGTGGAAAATAGAGACTAAGCAACAGAAAATAGAGTGAGTCCCTCACTCCTCCCCATTTCAGGGACCACAAATGCAGCTGAAGATTGCATCAGCCTTGCTGTGGCCTCTTCAAGCCGATGGTTCATATAGAATTTACTTACATACTAAAACCCTCATCCCTGCTCTGCCTATATGGCTTCGGTCTGTAAAATGAGGTGACTGGAGTATATGATCTCCAAGGACTTTTCCAGCTCTAAACACCTAGGATCAAAGAATGTATTACAAAGTTCAGTGTATTTAAGGGATATTGTGCCTGCAAAATCTTTATCAGGCTTTCCCATTTGGCCCTTCTCCATAAAGCGTTTCTGATTTTGTCTTTCGGGGGCAGGGTGATTCGTTCCTATGATGAGGGCACAGTTGTGGCTTCTAGAAGATGGCTTACAGTGGGGTCTCCTTAAAATCTGAACGATGACTCCAAACCTTTCCTTCCACCTGCTGTCTTGCCCTCCCTTCCCACAGACCTGGCACGCCCGCCCCTGCTGCCAGGCCTTCAGGGGTGCCTGTACTCACCTGTGTGTACGAACATGTGCTTGACGTAGTTTTGTTTGGCGGTGAAAGTCTTGTTGCAGAGAGTGCACTCATAAGGCTTTTTTTCGCCCTGCCCACTGGCTGTGCTGTGGCCTGCGGATGGGGCCAGGGGCTGTGGCGCTGGCAGCTGTGCAGTAAAGGTCGACAGGCCGGGCTGGGACACTGTCACAAACTGGGTCTGCTGGCCTGCCAGGGGCTGTGGCAGGCTGAAGAGGAAAGGCTTGGGGCCACTGCCCGCGGGCTGGGTAGTGAAGAGGGCCGGCAGGTAGGTGTTGCCGGCTGTGCCAATGACCTGCGTGTTGCTGGTCAAGGTCAGAGGCATCCTCAGGTTGCTGGTGAGGGTTTCTGTCTGGCGTAAGTAGAGCTGGGTGCTTGGCAATGGCTGCCCGATGGACGTGTTGACCGAAGGCTGCTGCAAGACGCTCTTGTCGGAGCTGTTGCTGACAGTGATGACCGTGTTGTCCATGTCCGCCTCGTTGCTTCTTTCCGGGGAGGAGGCACCTGTCTCTAGTTGGTGTGGCTGCGGGCCGCCCTCAGCAGGGGCTTCCGCAGCCTGCTCGGGTTGGGCCGGTTCGGCCTGGCCGTCCCGGGCCGCCGCGGGCCCGAACTGCTGCTCCACCGAATCAGGCTCAGTGCCTATGGAGGAGCTGACGCCCGAGTCGAAGCTTTCGCCCTTGGGCTCACTCTCGGTGCCCTCGGCCTGGTCGGTGTCTTCCGTGCACTCCTCGGATTCGTTGCGCTCCAGGATCTGCACCCTTTGCTGCCCATAGTAGTCGTAATCGTCCTCCATCTCCTGCTTGATGTGGATGTTGCCCACCAGGGTCTGGATGCGCACGGGCCGGGGCTGTTTGCGGCAGTGCGTGGTCTCGGGGGTGGTGGACAGGTAGCGCTCCATCTGCTGCGAGCGCTCGTGGATGCGCGTGATCCAGCTGGGGTCTTCCATGTGGTGGTCGCGGGGCAGGCCGAGGGCAGTCTCGTGGTGGCTGACCACCGCCCCGCTGTAGAAGGAGCGCTCGCCGCTGCCGTTCTGCATGGAGCACGCGTAGAGCGCCGAGTAGATCCTGTCCACGCTGTGCTGCGGGTGGCTCTGCAGGTAGCCTGACTCGGTGTCGCTGCTCTGGCCAGATGTGCCTGACTCGGGAGTGCCCCGCGGCGTGTCCTGGCCCGAGTCCTGGATCCCTGGGAACACATCGCCCACGTTCTGCGACACGATGCGCGTGCACTCATCGATGACTGTTTTGATCTGCAGGATGCTGGCGGCCGTGAGGATCTGCAGGGCTTCTGACTGCGAGACGCGCAGCACGCCGCTGTACATGAAGTCAATGAGCTTTTGCACCGACTGCACCGACACCACGGACGGGATCTCGATGTCGCTGTAGCCCAGCAGCAGCTTGTCCTGGAAGAAGGGGCTGCCGGCTGCCAGCACGCAGCGGTGTGCACGCAGCATGCTCCCGTGGATGCGCACCGTCACGTCACAGAAGTGGCCACGGTTGCGCTGCTCGTTGAGGGTCTCGAGCACGGAATTGCTGAAGTTGTGAAGGTTGATGCTGTGAATGCGCTCGGTCATCCCCTTGCAACTGATGTCACCTGCACAGCAAGAGAGACACAAAACAGGGTGTGGGTCAGAGCTAGCGGACTGCACTCCTAACACCCGGGTCTCAGGTGGGTAAAACTCATGGCTCCTAGAAGCATCCATCTTGCAGACACAAGTGGGCTCTGTGGTGAGATGGACAGGCTTTGCACAGGCGTTGCACAGGGGTCAAGCCGTGGGTATGATGTCCTGTGGGAACAAGGCCTTGAATTTTGTCCCAACAGTGTCCCAGCTATTTTGGGTATTGAATCCATATTAATCCCCTAGAGCTTCAGCCAGGGCTGTCTGTTGAAGTCGACCAGCCTAATAAACAGTGGGTCACTTGCCTGCTATTCCTACAACTTCAGCAAATGAGAACTGAAAGGCAAGGGGAAGACTTGTTCTCGTGGAACTCTCTACCTCCACTTTAGATAGGCCTAAGCCCAGGTCCTTTGGGAAAGCTTACATTGTATCTGAAATTTACATTTTATTTGAAAATTAATTAAAGTTCCTTACTTTATTCATAGACCGCAACAATATTCATCGTTTAAAAAAAAATCCCTTCCTATTAATTTATATGGACTATTCCCTAAATCCACACCATGTATGCAAAAATTCTTGGAGAATTCAACCCAAAGATGTCCACCAAACAGTGGCCGCCATGTTTTCCATTTGAGAGATGGGCTATAGAATGCAACCTGCTAGCTACAGGGGCACTTGCCTGCTGCTTTCTGTATCTTCTTGTCTGTATTCTTCTTGTCATCTCTGACAACCTGTTTGAGTACTTTCTAGGATGGTTGTATGTGATATGGTGGTTTTCTGAACTTTCTGAAGCTTAATGAAGAAGGACTGTTAAAAAGGTCAGAGATGGCAGCGTTGACCTGGGACACTGGAGTACAGTAGGTGATCATATTTATCATTCAAACTGGGCACTTTTGGGAGTGAAGGGAGCACTGTTAATCAGTAGGTCAGGACAGCAGGAGTAAATTAGGAGTAGGATGTGTGCTCACCCTAGGTAACTGGGCGCTCCATGTGCTTGTTAGAGGGACATATCAAACAGCTCCCAGTGGGGAGGCAACAGTCAGCTACATGGAAGCTGTGGGTAGCCTGACCCATTGCCACCCTTATATCCCGGGCTGTGCAGACAAGGGATAATGCTGGTAACATTTGGATCACAGATTGAGGAAGAAAACAGGTGGCTATAACACTAAGTCTTAGGGCTTTCCTATTTTTCTACCTCACCTCTCCAGTGGCTCTAAAGAATCTCTCTCTTCCAGCCATTCTTCAGTGAGATTCCCCATTCTTGCCTTCACAACTGAACAAGCAGCTTGAGAGAGGCCAAGTAAGTGGGCTTTCAAAACCAGGTGGCCCAAGTACTAATTGTTGGCCCGTGACCCAGATTCCTGTTTTGTTAGAAGTAACCCCAGAGGTAATGGCCTGCAGACAGGAGGAAAGCCCACCTTCTCAGGTTCTTTCTCCTCTGCCTCAGGGGAGAGGTCCTGCTCAGGGAAGTCTGAGCTCAACTAGATTTTCTACCTACATCACTCAATCTCCTCCAGCTGTCTGAGCTCAGGTGGTGTGACCACACCCTTTTATAATTCATTCATTTCCTTTGTTCCCATCTTTACATTTAGTCAGCCCCACATATATCCACTTAACTTAATAAATGCCTATAGGCTCTATGTTCAGTTTCAGTGATACAATTTGCACGAATTTTTACATAAGAGAATTCCTTCTTGTTCTGACTTCCATCAGGTCTGTTACGTGCCTAAAATATTTCATTAGGCTACTGTTTCTATTTTTTTCCACTTATGTAAATCAAATTGTCTTTGCCAGATTAAAGAATCATGATGAATCCTCTATAACTGTGCTAATACAAAATATGGCCTCAGAGGAAAGCCCCAATAACCCAGGAAGGAATATTCAGGAAGTGAGTCAGCAGACAAATTCCAAGTTCTTGCTGAGTTCCTTATGCATGTATACCACAATAATAATAACAAGAGCACATATGTTTGTTGTTGTTATTGAGGAAGAGTCACCCTGAGCCAACATCTGTTGCCAATCTTCCTCTTTTTGCTTGAGGAAGATTTGCCCTGAGCTAACATCTGTGCCCATCTTCCTCTATTTTGTATGTGGGTTGCCGCCCCAGCATGGCTGACGAGAGCTGTAGGTTTGCGCCTGGGATCCGATCCCGAGAACCCGGGCTGCTGAAGCAGAGCATGCTGAACTCAACTACTATGCCATGGGGTCAGCCCCCACATATTTTTTTAGAGCTTACCATGTGTCAAGTTCTAACTACTGTTAGAACTGTTCCGACCGCTTTATATACATTATTTCATTTAATCCTCACAACAACCGTATGATATAGGTAATATTATTGTCTTCATTTTTCAAATGAGGAAACTGAGGCCAGAGAAATTAATAAATTTGCTCAAGGCCACATAGGCAGTTGGTGGCAGAGCTGGCATTTGAACCCAGCAGTCTGGTTCTAGAGTTCACACTCTTCTCTGCTTCACTGTATTGCATTCCTTGCCCCTGGATGAAGTCTGGCCCTTAGGTGGCCATGGGTCCGCTGTAAAGTTGTGTGAAAGGCATGTCCAGTATGCCCTTCAGCTGCTTTGATACCTATCCATGAATTAGCATGGCGTCCATGTTTCTAGGCCTTGGGACTCAACACAGCCTCAGTCATCTACTAAAGAACATCGTTTTTTAAGTTTATAAATGGAACAATGCAAGAGATAAAACAACTTGTCCTGGCACTAAAATGTAGAGTTTTCTATATACAGTTTTACTACCACCAAGGTCCCTTTCTTTTAAGTAAAACAGTAAGCACCAGAAATGGTTGAGTCTCTGATAAAATCACCATATCTGAGTAGGATGGATTTATTAAAAATTTTTTCCACACAGGTGAAAACACTCTTTAAACACACATTTGCTCATAGCACCCGTCACAACTATATCACTAGAGATGTCATCTATGACAAAGAGTTGTCTTCTTTCTGATAATTCTGGGAAGAAGCTCTATCACAATTATCATAATAATTAATACCCATGTAGTGTTTTACAGTGTGCAAACTCTTTCACATGTAACATCTCATTTACTCCTTACCACAATCCTATATGTTTTCAGGACAGGTCCTATTATTATTATTTGATGTAAGAGGAAGTTGAGGCTCTCAAAGTGTCTAAATGACTTGCCCGGGCTGGCCCTGTGGCTTAGCGGTTAAGCGTGCGCGCTCCGCTACTGGCGGCCCGGGTTCAGATCTCGGGTGCGCACTGACGCATGGCTTCTCCGGCCATGCTGAGGCAGCGTCCCACATACAGCAACTAGAAGGATGTGCAACTATGACATACAACTATCTACTGGGGCTTTGGGGGAAAAAGGAGGAGGATTGGCAATAGATGTTCGTGCAGAGCCGGTCTTCCTCAGCAAAAAGAGGAGGATTAGCATGGATGTTAGCTCAGGGCTGATCTTCCTCACAAAAAAAAAAAAAAATGACTTGCCCAAAGTTTTACACAGATAGTAAGTGGCAGGGTTGGGATTAGAACTCATGCCCCTTGACGCTATTTTCACTGCATAACACTGGATCTCTGAGGAATGAAACTTAGATTGCCCAAAGACGTAGGGCCATCCTAATTCTCATGACATAGAAGAAAAGACGAAGACTGTGAAAGTGATGATGGAGGTTGCTTTAGAGATGGAAATGGTCAACAGCAAAAGCTGTCATATTACACACATTCATACACACACACACAAAACACACACAATCTCATGAGAAAAATTCAAACTGCTTGTTTGAATTTTGACCAAACTGGTCAAATCTATCTAAAGAATCAGGAAACCCTGTAGAGATAATCACAAAAAAATTGTCCGTTAAATAGTTCGAGTTATGATTATTGCAGTAATGTTGTCACCAACTTCATTAAAACCACAGAGACAGACTCAAACCTGCACACATATACAGTCTAATCTGAGAAGCTTAGTTGGATTTGTATAGACAATTTTAAACATCTCCCCGAGCACACTGGTCCTGCTCTGCAGTGAGCAGCCCTGAAAGGCTGAGTGGATTTTGCTGATATGGGTACAGAGGCGATGGGGGACCCTGCCTGTCCATTCAAGCGCGCCTCGTTCCTTCAACACACAATGCTGAAGCAATTCCTTTCCCAGGCTTTCTTTTATTTTTAACACTAATACAGTGGGAAAAAGTTTCTGCCACAGCGAGGCAATGTCCAGGCTTTTGTGAAACAGGTCCTTTTCATCCAATGGGCATTAATGTATAGATTCCAATGGAATAAATCTGAAATACTCTACTGTGGAAGATTTGTCCCCCATTGAAAACAAATCTTGATTAGATGGTTATTCAGGGACTGTATAGGAAGGAATGGTGTGAAAATGCTCACTCTATTCTTTCCTAGATTGGCACTGAATAGGCATTTGGGCTATTCAAAAAAAAAAAAAGAAAAAACCCTGAACTCTACAAAACCATACAACTTTACAAAGATTATGTGTGTTTGGGGACGCCACCTCACCCTCCAGAAAAACTCCACAGTGGTGTGACCATAGAACTGATGGAGTAAAATGAAAAAGGTGATAAAAATAGTTCTCTGTGTGTTTTAAAGTAACAACCTACCTCCTTTCCACTGGAGTGAAAATATATAGTTGGCCTGTGATGGTATTTGCTAGACACACGCGTGGAATTCTACTACTGAAAGCGATCGCGTATTCTAAGTGATTGCGTTCTGTGAGTGAGCACAGTATGGATAGGGCTGACGCAGGAGTGAGTACTGGAGGGAAATCTGCTTGTGGTGAAGTAGGTGATAGAGGGCTTGGCTCTCTGTCTTGCAGGAACCCAGCTCCGGCCTGGCCCTTACGCTGCGGGGGTCCAGAGATAGGACTTAGCATGAGAATCAAAAACTGCCTGTGCACAAGGGAAAATGAACAAGAAAGGAAACAGCAGGCAGTACAATCTCTTTTAATTAGGTGTGAAACCCAGTTCTTTCTCAGTCCGGATATATA